GATAAAATCTGGAGTAACGCCGGCGAGCAGAACTTCGACCGTCTGCTGGCCAAACTGCGCAAGTATCTGCCCAAAGCTCGCGTGGTGGCGTGTTTCTGCGAGGGCATGACCGTACGAAACATCCTGATGGCCATGAGACGACAAAACCTCGTCGGAGAGTTCCTGTTGGTCGGCAGGTCAGTGGAGGAATGAATGGTGAAAAACATGGAGAAATTGAGTGCGATCTTACTTGGCCTTCGACTGGAGATTTAATTTGTAAAACCATCCCGTAATAAATTAGTTGTCTGTATCCTTTTTATGAATTTTTATTCCAGTTCTAGTTCTTTTAAAACATCAAGTTAAACTAAATGAAAAATGTTGCCTTGGCAACTAGCTGAAATAAGTCTATTTATTATTTTTTTTTTTTGGTAGTTTATTTTATTTCAGTTCATTTTTTTTATTTCAAGTAACACAAATTATTTTTTTTATGATTTTAACTGTAATACCCCTGGTATGGACTTCTGTTAAGAAATCTTTGTGACTTTTTCAGCATCAGCTTCTCAGTAAAGATGAGAACCAACAGGAAGTTTTCATCATCATCATCATCCTCATTGTCATCTTCATAACCATCATCGTCATCATTACATTATCTTCATCAGCATCATCATTGCAGGTATGTTTCATAATTTAGGGTTTTGTGCATCTTAAAAATAAAGGCTCTAAAAGGGGGGTTTGCAGTGATGCCATAGGAACCTTGCAGTGATCAGTTCTTAGGAACATGTCATATATATAAAGAGAACCTTTTTCTACTATGAAGAACATTTTGTGGAATGGAAAGATTCCATGGACGTTAAAGGTTCTTCATGGAACGATCAATGCCAATAAAGTACCTTTATTTTTAAGAGTTCACTTACACACACACACACGTCTCCTCTCTTCGAGTCTGAATGTCTCTGATGGCCGCTGTAAGACCCTCTCAGGCACTGTTAGTACCGCATTTACTGCTTCAGTCTCAGGTCAGATGGAGTGCTTCCTTCTGTCTGAAGTGGAATTACAACAAGAGCCGACGGATGACCGCAAAACAACACAGCATAGACAGAAATTATAGTGGCCCTTAAATCTTGTGCACGTGTTTTCTGTGAGGAACAGACTGAAATTTAAGTCATTAAAGGGGTCATAGGATGCTACATGCACATTTACAAGTTGTTTGAACTGAAATGTGTGTTGGCAGTGTGTGTACACAACCACCCTATAATGATAAAAATCCACTCTGTGTTTTTAGTTTGATTGACAGTAGCGTTTCAGCACAGACTGGACTGGTGTCTTACCTCAGAGTGAGCTGTCATCAGTCCGCCATTGTTTCACCGCCGGAGCAGATGTAGACAAGAATGACTCCTGAGCGATTGAGGTGTTCTGTTGTTGGATGTAATAATGTAATAATGAACAATGCGGCCCGATCTACATAAATGCGTCTATGTTCGCGCGGATCATTCATGATCCAGCCTCATCTACAGAAGAAGTGAGTATGTTTTGTAATGAATCTTTGCAAATCGCCTTTCCTAATAATGTGCTAATTAGCAAGTTTCACGATGAATGCGGCTAAAGTAAACAGTCTCTCTGAGAGCAGCTCAGAAGAGAGGGGCGGGGTTAGCAGAGCTCATTAACATTTAAAGGAAAATGCTACAAAAACGGCTTAATCTGAAAAGAGCTGTTTTTGACAGGGTAGCTGTTTTTTTACACACATTTTAACCAAAATATGTTACAGACTTTTCATTAAGACCCTAAAGAATCATATCAACTTGTGGGAAATGGGCATCCTATGACCCCTTTAAGCTCTGGAAAAAATGACAGAATTTCCTTTTTTTTTTTTTCTGTGTGAATTCGTGTGTTTGTGTGTGTGTTCGTGTGTATGTAACATATATCATAAATTAAGACATATTTGTCATTTTTAGATGAACTATCTCTTAAAAAGACTTAGGCCACGTCCAATTTTATAGAGGGCCAGACTTAGGCCACGTCCAATTTAATAGACCTATTTTCAATGATTCAGTCAACACTATTGAAAGAATGTGCATCTCATAGCTTTGTTTTCATTTCATAACACCCTAGCAACCACCCAGAAAACATTAGTAATACCCTAACTACTCCTCATAATACCTCAGCAACACCACATCAACCACCCAGAACACCTTAGGACAGCCCTAGCAACCAGGTAGAACACCTTAGTAACATCCTTGCAACCTGCCAGAACACCTTAGTACCTCCCTAGCAACTAGCCAGTATAGTAATTTCATTTACTCCCGACATCTGAGCCGCTGAAGACGCAGTGGATTACGTTTATTTCTGAAGGGAATGTGCCCCCGATCTACATAAATGCTCGCGCGAATGATTCATGATCCAGCCTCATCTACAGAAGAAGTGAGTATGTTTTGTAATGAATCTTTGCAAATCGCCTTTCCTAATAATGTGCTAATTAGCAAGTTTCACGATGAATGCGGCTAAAGTAAACAGTCTCTCTGAGAGCAGCTCAGAAGAGAGGGGCGGGGTCAGCAGAGCTCATTAACATTTAAAGGAAAATGCTACAAAAACAGCTTGATCTGAAAAGAGCTGTTTTTGACAGGGTAGCTGTTTTTTACAGTACCATTGAGAAATTTTAACCAAAATATGTTACAGACTTTTCATTAAGACCCTAAAGAATCATATCAACTTGTGGAAAATGGGCATCCTATGACCCCTTTAAGCTCTGGAAAAAATGACAGAATTTTATTTTTTATTTTTTTTCTGTGTTAATTTGTGTGTTTGTGTGTGTGTTCGTGTGTATGTAACATATATCATAAATTAAGACCAATTTAATAGACCTATTTTCAATGATTCAGTCAACACTATTGAAAGAATGTGCATCTCATAGCTTTGTTTTCATTTCATAATGCCCTAGCAACCACCCAGAAAATATTAGTAATACCCTAACTACTCCTCAAAATACCTCAGCAACACCACATCAACCACCCAGAACACCTTAGGACAGCCCTAGCAACCAGGTAGAACACCTTAGTAACATCCTTGCAACCTGCCAGAACACCTTAGTACCTCCCTAGCAACTAGCCAGTATAGTAATTCTATATATATATATATATATATATATATATATATATATATATATATATATAAATTTCTCAGATGGTAAGTCATTCCCTTATTGTGGAATCCGACATGCGTGCATTTTTTATTGTCTTGTTTTTTTTTTAAATTTATTTATTTTTTATAATCACTCTAAATGAACTAAATTAACATGTTCAATTGGCATCCCCACTTTTAATTTGTAATGTGGTTGAATCTACTTAAAGGCAGACTTAAAAATGAAAAGTGTGTGTGTACATGTGTGTAAATTCCCCTCTGCTAGACTACTGATCTAAGGCCAGAGATGAAACACAGAGGATCAAAGCGTCTCAGAGCTCAAGGTCTGTCGTTTCTGGAGCGCACACACACACACACACACAAACACACACAACAGAACAAAACATCTGCTCAAGAATGCACATGCACTCACATATACATACCCACATATTTTGGGATGTTAAAATTCTTTCTCACATAGTGCACGATAAAACGGATGAAAACTTCAGACTGACATTGAAGGAGGAACCCAGGCCATATCTAGACACCAGAATATCACAGAGACTGGTTTAGTAAGGTACCACCTAGCAATCACCCAGAATGCCTTAGCAATGCCCTAGCAACGCCCTAGCAACTACCCAGTACACCTTAGTAACACCTAGACACCAGAACATCACAGAGACTTGAGGGTGGTTTAGTAAGGTATTACCTAGCAACCACCCAAAACACCTTAGTAACATCCTGGAAACCAAACAGAATACCGTAGTAATGCCCTAGCAACCACCCAGAACACCCTGGCAACACCCTAGCATCCACCAAGAATGCCTTAGTAAGTTTAGTCTTCAGAACATCACAGAGACTTGAGGGTGGTTTTGTAAGGAATCACCGAGCAACCACTCAGAACACCTTAGCAATGCCCTTGCTCCCACCCAGAATACCTTAGTAACACCCTAGCAACTAACCAGAATACTTTAAAGCCTTAGCAGCCACCCAGAACACCTTAGTAATGCTCTAACAACTAACCAGAGCACCTTCTTATTTATTACTGTGAAACTGCTTTGAATCAGTATGTATGGTATTAAGTACAATATAAATAAATGTGTTTTCACGTTACTTAGAAACGCCCTAGCAACCAACTAGAACACCTTAGTAATGCCCTAGCAACCACCCAGAACACGGTATTATTACTGTGAAACTGCTTTGAATCAATATGTATTGTATAAAGCGTTATATAATCAAATGTCATCTGACTTGACTTAGTAATGTCCTAGCAACATCCAGAACACCTTAGCAACGACCTAGCAACCACCCAGAACATATTATAAATGCCTTAGCAACTACCTAAAACACCTTTTTATTTATTACTGCACTGTAAAAAATTCCATAAAATTTACGGTAAAAAACCGGAAGCTGTGGTTCCCCGAATTTTACCGTACAAAATACGGTATCAACATTTTAGGTTTTAACTTAAATTTACAGTTAAATACCGTAATTTCATTAACTGATATAATGTTACTATACCAACCTATTGAAGTACTGAAATCTGTTTTGTACCTTTGTAATACACTGATAACCACCAAATGCAGGAGGTGATGAGAACGTCACACGATGAACCAAAGCCCATCACAAGCAGCTTTTAAATAATAACATATATAGAAGGTGCACAGTGTCATTCACACAAACACTAAACACCATCATGGTGACACACATGAAACTGAAATAATGCAATAAACATTCATTTAACAACATTAGGTGTAACACACAACCCTAATATACAAAACTGATAAGAAAAAACTAAGAAGAAACAGTTATTTCAACAAAAAAACATCAAATTTGAAATGTAATGCAGGGAATTCTGGGAAAGTCAATTTACGGTTATTCACTGTAAATTATATGGTCTTTTTCACTTCCAAAAACGCTATACTACCGTTGTAACTACCTATGTAATGTCCAATACAGTTTTTCACCGTATATAGTAGGGGAATTTACCGTTAACCATTTAACAGGTTTTTACTGTAGCATTTTTACAGTCTTTTACAGTGTGTAAAGCTGCTTTGAATCAGTATATAATGTATAAAGCACT